TCCCTACACAGTTTCTAGGCCCAAGTGCCAAGTTGATTACCCAGTAATCGACATCACAAAACATTTTAAGGCACCGTAGAAGACAAAGGATCAAAGGAATTTTTAGTATTTAGTTATACAGAAAAGTATACCTGATAGTCTAAAATGCTGAATCCTAAACCATTTTTGTCTTTCTCCAGTTCAATAACCTTCACATCAGGAGACCATAACGCTAATTCCCCTTCTTCCTCCTCAAGATTAACATCTTCCTCGGGTTTCACCTGAAAAATAAAAGCTCTAGTTCACACACTTTTCTTTCAGTTCTTTACAAACATTATTCCTTCAATATTTTGATTATTAATGGCTCGTACAAGCCCTAAAATATGACCTTTTATGGAATTACAACTTCACTGAACATTACGCGTGCAGTTTTCTCCAGCTTGCTGCCTTGGATACTCCCCTGGAACTATGCCTACATGTTTTGAGAATCAGAGCCCAACCTGGCACATAAATACCCATGTATTAGCCAAATTAGTTGTTATATTACTAACCTGTTACATGTTGATGAACTTCAGCTGTCCCGTTAGATGCATAAAGGAAAAATAAATATCTTATCATAAAAGATTGAACCACAGACAGCTAATAGAAAGACCAGATCAGGCACATCTGATACTTGTGGTATTAAATATGCGAACAAAAAATTCTTATATTGCAATTATACAAATAGCATCTAATTGAAAAAGCAGTTTCTTTCACAATTTTTGTGCTAAGTATGAAAGAAAGAGGTATAGTTACCCAATTTTGTTGGGTAAGGACAGCTTCGTAAATACATCTTCCAAAAAGGCATCTTTTGTTGTCTAACTTAAAATGGTGTGTTTTAACATTACTGCTATTTTATTAATACAATCTTTATAAAGTATCAATGTATGATGTTCAAATCTTGTACCATTAACTTCACACTGATTTAATTTTATTTCTTTGGACAAATAGGCCTGTTACACAGAGCACTGTCATGAGGCAAAAGGAAGAAATTTGTCTTCCATGTGCTCTTTCTTGATACTTTTGAGAAAAGAAAGCAGAAACATTGTGAGATTGCGCTAAGGAGAAGGCAACCTTTGTTCCCTCAGTATCACCTTATGGCAAAGATGGGTAGCTGGCAGGATGCATATGGAAAATTTTCAGTAAAATGCAATGTCAAAAAAACCCACAGTGGAACAAGTTCTATTGCAACAGAAAGGGCCTTTTACAAAAAACATCCATGTTTCTTGTTTAATTCTCCACCTTAGAGGAAATTAGATCAGAAAATATCAGAAAAGTTGAGAAGTCAAGGTGTAAATACTTTTTATAAACAGGAACAACCATAACAAGTATCAAGGTTTAGTCTTTTAGTTTTCTGCAACAGAAAGAAACATTAAGTTTCATTTTTTTCCACTTCTATAAAAACCTACTCGGAACATGGAAGTAATCAGCTAATGGTGGCAAGGATGTGATTTAGTATAATTCAGAGCTCTCACTCACCTATTAAGTGTAAGAATGACGAATGGGATGTACACAGTCAGCACGCTAGCTCGGTGATTTACCTATCTTGTATTTATAGTACAATGAAGTTTCTCATGACCAACCTGTATAAACTGTAGTAAAAGTAGCAGTGTTGCAAACATGAACTATCTCTCACTGAAACACCAGCTGTCCCTTACGAGCCCAAAGTGAATGGCAAAGGCAGCTTTATAAGACAATTTAATACAAAACTGTCTCATATAACTATATATTCTAGGAAATGTTATTTAAGACTGAAAAGTGGTCTGGATCAAACAGCAAAAGGAAAATAGTAACACTTGTTTTTAGAAAACTAAATCACTTTCTCAGAAATATATGCACTTTTTCAAAAAGTTATTGTCTTTTACACAACTGAACAACATAAGTAGTCCACCTTTTGTTCTGGAGGGGAAACTCCCACAGTGGGTTCATCCACAAGAGACTCACTGCCATCATCAAAAAGTCGCCGACAGCAAACCAATGTAAACGGGGGTGGCACTTCCTTTAGAAAAGTGATTGCCTCACGGCGTGATTTTCCGTATAGCTGAACTCCATTTACCTACACAGAAGGCGAAACATACGTCCACATGAAGATAATTAAAAGGATATCAACTAGATTCTTTCAGTAATTTTTTTTGCATACGTGTCTTTCTCCAGTTGAATGTGAAAGTCTAATTTTACTTAGGGATTCTGGCAAAGCTTGCATAGTTTTGTTAACATATGCTTCTGAAGTATACATGCAACACTGTAAGACTTAAGCTTCATCTGCAAGATCTTGTGACTACTGGCTGCTACATCATGTCTCCACTCACTTCAGCTTCCTCTAACTTTTTTCCTACTCACTGCTTTTCCTAGCCTAAATCTTTCCCAGGCCTGTTATTTCATTCTCACCTGTTTGTTTGTTGGGTTTTGTTGGGGTTTTTTTAGCATTAGGCTTACATGTTTGAATTGAAAAACATAAAAATTTAATTTTCAAAAATATTTTAAGAAAACACAGATTTTGAGCCCTAAGAAAAAAACTTGAAGTTAAAACTAGCACAACTTCGTCAGTTGTTTAAAGTGTAACAAAGCAGTTGAAACTAAAATAGATCCTACAGAAAACATGCAAGAATGTTTATACATTAAAAAAGAAACCAATTAGAGTAAACAATTAATCAGAAAACCCTGACAAGGGTCAAAGCTTACTATCCCATGAGCTTTAGATCCTGAGTGACAACAGAAGACCGTAAGGCCATTGTTAATGGATGTTTTAAACCACAGACTTAAAGAAAAAAACGTAGATAGATAATAATGCTGCCCTAAAAATGGGATACTGCAGTTGTACTTCCTCAGAAAAATAAAACTACAGTGATTCATCCTCTTTTATGTATCTTATAACCTGCAACATCATGAGGGTACATCTATTTGCACCATAGTGGTATCCTGAAATATGAGGAAAGCAGAACTTCAGTAGGTGTCATAGATGCGAACAAACATCCAAAGTCACTGGAGCACAGGCACTGGTTTAGGAATCATAGAATGACAGACTGGTTTGGGTGGGAAGGGACCGCCCAGCCCATCCCCTTCCAACCCCTGCCATGGGCAGGGACACCCTCCACTAGCCCAGGTTGCCCAAAGCCCCATCCAACCTGCCCTTCAACACTGCCAGGGAGCCAGGGGCAGCCACAGCTTCTCGGGGCACCCTGTGCCAGGGCCTCAGCACCCTCACAGGGAAGGATTTCTGCCTCACATCTCATCTCCATCTCCCCTCCTGCAGCTTCAGGCCATTCCCCTTGGCCTGTCACTCCCTGCCCTTGTCACCAGCCCCTCTCCAGCTTTCCTGGAGCCCCTGCAGGGACTGGAAGGGGCTCTAAGGTCTCCCCACAGCCTTCTCTTCTCCAGGCTGAACAAGCCCAACTCTCTCAGCCTGTCCTCATCGGAGAGGTGCTCCAGCCCTCAGATCATCTTTGTGGCCTCCTCTGGACAGAACTCAGAATCCAGTACACATCATTCACCCCACAACATGAGCCCAAGCACAGTAAGTGGGGATAATTGAAGATTCTCTTCAATACTTCATACCCAAACTGCAATGCTAATGTAGATGAACCCACATTTGATCCTAGAAAATACAGTACGTGAATATACAAAATACACGTACACACCTCTGTACGTGTGTACTTGAGGCAAAGTCTCGCCATATACTTCTGAGATCTCCTTGTTCTTTAGGGGGACTCAATCTTGTGCAAAAGTACACAGCAATCTCACTTTAGCCACCATTTTCTTCCTGATCATCTCTAATTTTTGCCACGTTTGCCTTTGTGCTTTTTACAGTGTAAATATAGTTTATAGTGCTGGGAAACACGGAGTTCCTCTCACAGTATAACCCAGCCAAGGATAAAAATTCAGTGGTGTAACTGGCCTCCAACATGGTAAGACGAACTGCTATGGGTTTTTTCTGTAAGAATTACAGCAACTGCTGAGCTATCAGGCTAATCCATTAGTTAATTATTTAAGCAGAAGTATCTACGCGTAAGGATTTTTTAATGCATTGAGAGCGGCAGCGTGGTGGAAAGTTACCAGCACTTCTCAGCGTAATGTGATTGATGGAGAAGAGCTATTGCGCGCTCCCAAGCAGATTTGGGGACTTCCATTTTTCCTTTTGCAGCTGCCAGAAATCAGCGTCTAAACACACAAGGTGCCCGACACCCCATTCATTCCCCACAGCACTCTAGTTAGTTGCACCATCAAATAGAAGCGAGAAAAAAATTTTAACAAAACTAGGACACAAGGAAGCAATTTACTCCTAAAAAAGAACACA